AATTGCCATGTCATTAGTCTTGGACTGACTTGTTTGGTGTGTGCAACGGGAAATATTTTGCTTTCGGAGAACAAGAAAAATAGGTTTATTTGCATTACACTTATTAATCTGTGCAGTTATTCAATGTCTGGTAAGTTATGTTCAAGAAAAAATATTAATTTTGATTAAAATGTTCTATTATTTTATGTTAACGACTGCTCTTTTATTTCAGCCCTTTGTATTCAGCATGTCCCTATCGAAATAAACCTACGTTTCTATGAAAATTGAAGCTTTCATTTTTTTTGCAGCCCACATAAACTTAAACCTTGTTTATTTGGCCCATGTTAGCCTTTGAGTCTGACATGCTTGGCCTACTAGACTCTCAGGAAATGGGAGGCAAACCTGTGTGTTGAAAATGAAAGGGAGGTGATAAGGTCAAGAATTTGAAAAGACACATAGACACCACCTCAGAGAGCCAGGGGTGAGGGAACTGACGCTGGACGTGTGGGGATTCTGAAGACGTGGGAAACGTGGGATCCTGGCAGCACATGAGCTGATTGCAGAAGGCCATCAACCAAGGGTGTCCCTTCCCCATTTGCCCCTTGGAATCTGTCAGCCACAGAACAGTGAGGCTGGGTGGGCCCAGGATACTCTCATTCTCTCAGGTCCACACAAAGGTTGAGCAGTCCTCTGTTTGTAATGTAAGCAAGTAGATAGGATCTGGGTGTTGTGGCTTTTACCTTGGGCTGCAGGCTGTCCCAGAGCCTGAGTGAAGGTCAGTGGTGAGAAACCCCAGCTTGCTAAGGGCAGGGAAGCAGGGACCAAGTCAGGGGTCACTGGAGGCGGCAGATCTGGTCATGGAGCTCTAATCCTGAATGTTAAATCTGGGCTTTCCACAGGAGTGCCAGGAAGAGGGCTATGCCCTCCCTGGTCACGGGAGGTAATGATGGGGTGAGGCTAAGGGGACAAGGAGGGGGAGAGGAGCCCCAAAAAGGTGATGCCAAAGTCAAGAGGACTCCCCTAAACAGTCCAGGAAGTATACCTCCTGCTTGTTGATTTGGTGACCCCAAGCTCCTCTCTGGCTCCCTCAATAAAATGTTGTGTGTGTTTCAGTATTTGTTTTATGTTTTATAAAGCAACTAGAGGCCTGATGCACAAAATTCATGCAAGAGTAGGCCTTCCTTCCCCCAGCTGCCTGCACCAGCTTCCCTCTGGCACCCCGGACCTAGGCTTCCCTCCAGCCACCAGCATGTACCCGGGACCCAGGCTTCCCTCACAGCCCCGGCTTCAGACCTAAGCTTCCCTCCAGCCACCAGCAGGTACCCCAGACCCAGGTTTCCCTCACAGCCCCGGCTTCATCCGGAAGGTCGTCCAGAAGGTCATCCGGAAGGACAATCGGTCTAATTAGCATATTATGCTTTTATTATTATAGATTAGATTAGATTAAACTGAATTTAATGTCATTTTGAGGCTGGGGACAGAATTGTACAACAGCTCCTTGGGCACCAGGGAGCAGAGCAGCCTCTCTGGGGAGCAGACGCAGCGCTGGTTCAGCACACGGTGTGCGTCCTCTCACTGCGTCCAGCGGGGCGACCTGAGCAAATGGCTTCAGTGTCCTCACTGCACTGGCCTGGGGGTCCTAGTGCTGGAAGTGAGCATTAAATCAGGGAGAGCTGGGAAGGACTTAGCAGACTACCTAGTGTGAAGTAAGTGCCCAACAAGGGAAGCCTTTACCAGCATCATCATTCACATTAATTTTAGGGAGAGTAAAAATCTTATAGAAATCTACAATACTTCCTCAGAAACTCAGAAAGTGATTCTTCAGGTACACACAACCCCAGGTACCCTCCTCTGGAGAGTTCTCCATAGCCAGCCCTCAGGTGGCCTGGGCAGGCTTTCTAAAACCATGCTCAGACCCCCACAGAGCTGTCCGCCTCCAGGTCCAGAGGCACCACAGGAAGAGGCAGGACCACCATGCGCCGGAGGCTTCTACGCCAGAACCAGACTTGGAGTTTTTATGTTTCTGAGCTGTCAACTGGGGAAGGATAGACAGAGGAGGGGAAAGTGGGAAGGGAAGGAGTGAAAGGCCCGCTGAAGCTTTTTTTCCTGGCTTCGACATGGAGTTCAGTAGGTGTACCTGCTTCCGTCTCCAACTCAGATTCCCTGTCACCAACCCCACTGCCCGGAGTCCAACGTGCAAGTGACACCTACGATTATTCCTGTCAATGCATTGCCCCTGAAACCTGACAGCCTTTAAGGCAATGGTTCTCGGCCAGATACAATTTTGCCCTCCCTGTCTCCCAGGAGCTTTGGAAATGTCTGAGGACGTTTCTGTTATCACAACTTGGAGAGATGCTTCTAGGAGGTAGAGGCCAGGGATGCTGCTGAGCATCACGCAATGCACAGGACACACAGCAAAGAATCATCCAACTGCCCTCTCTCCACCCATCATCCCCGCCCCATTATTCCACCCAGGCCAAGGGAGGCCATTGCTCTCTTTCTGGCACCGCATGCTGAAATCCCAGGTAAAAGATCCAAGATTACAGTGTCAAAGTTAAGAAACTGCGATTGAAGGAAAAAGGAGTCCCCCACACCCACTTAACTCACTAAGATTATCAAACTGGCAGCTTGCCATATGCCCTGGATTAAACACCCTAACTTGAATGACTAATTCTCCTTTGCCTGGTACATTTATGTACAAGTCTGTAAGCAGTGATTGCTTTCAAGATGTCATTCTTCATTACTTGTTCCTGTATGAAACTGCCACAGTTTAAGACAGTCCCTGTGGATATCATCATCATTTCATTCATTCATTCATTCAATACAAATCATCGAGCTCCCTCTTACACTGTGATGGGGTCTAGGGATAAAGGGTGAAGAAAACTAAGTCTCCGTGCTCAAGTTCAAAGTGTACATATTGAGGACGAGGGGAGGACAGCTGTGCTAATGAATAATTACAACACTGTCCTCATGAGATAGATACATGGGAGCGGGGGTAGCAAAGGGAGGTGTGCTCAGGGTTTCCTGTGGCAATCACTTTTTGGTTTCCACTTGCAAGGTTCCTTCTTGGCACCTCTGGAAAGGCAAAGGGTGGGGGAGTAGTAACAAGCAATTCGGCCTTAATGACCTCCCATTAGGAAGGTGCCTATGCTCTTATTCAAAGGAGAGACCCAAATGAATGAAGAATTGTTTGAATACCCTTCCATTTCAAAATCAAGTACCTGACCACTCAGTCACACAGAAGAAAAATAGAATTTCATAGACTGGGAAATATGCCAATCAATGTATGTCAATTCCACTCTTATTTATTAAAGGAGTTCTCTACCAAAAAGTTCTCTACCTTAGGTCTGAATAAGCCCATAAAATAACCAGAGGGTCAGAACTTCCAGGGAGCTATCTGGTAATAATACTAGGCAGTACCAGTGAGTGTATGAAAAAGACACATAAGGACAAGAGCTGTAATTGGCAGAGCCCGGGGTGGTTCTAGTCCCAGTCCTACCACTAACTTGAAAATCTGGGGCAGGTCCCTTCTCTCTGCAGTCTCAGTTTGCTCATCTGTAAAGGGAGGGAATTGGGCTAGAGCACAATGGAGCATCCTTCCAAGGCTCACTGAATACTTGAACCAAGTGAGGGCTCTCACTCCCCACCCCCCTGCTTATTCTTGAGATAATGTGGGGGGTCCCCTTGAGATTAAAATGTAGGTTGAATCCCAGAACTGTTGATTTTTGGGGATAACCTCAACCTTACTGCAAATACTTAAGAAGGAGGCTGGGAGGGTCACAAAGGGGAAACTAGAGGCCTCCCCCACCCCTGGGCGCTGCCTAACAACACCCCTCTCGGCTGCATTTGGCTTTGAATTGTCCCCAATGCCCCAGTGCTTTCCCCCAAATTGGGAGTTCACACTAAGGAGTGGGTGCTGTTGCTCTAGCTGAGGCTCCAGGTTACCAGGGAGATGGGGACAAAATCCCCAAATTCCACTCCTCCCAACTGCCACTGCTGGGATGCCATGGGCCTGCAGAAAGGTGGCATCTAGGACTTGTCAACTCTCCCACCTCTCAGGGAGCTGGGGTTTTCGGTAGGATCCGACAGGAGAGGACTACAAGAGGGCAAGGTCATTGGGCACCAACAAGGACTAGCCCAGGACAGAGATTAGAGAGTCTAAACGGGGTCCCCAAGTGCTGTCCCTGGGGAATTTCTTGGGACAGACGCCTTGGAGGCCAGTCTGGAATGTTGGTGGAAAGAAATAGCTCTGAAATCTGGCCCCCTTACCCCAACCTCTACCCCTCCGCCCCTCTATTCCTTCCACCAGTCTGGGTGCAGCCACTCTCTCCTTCACAAATCCCACAGGGAGAGCCTCTGCGATTCCCAGGAGTTTCTGTGGGAAAGAACAACCAGCTTCCCACTCTGAGGCCTTCTGCTTTCCTTCCAGCTCCTCCCTGGACCTGGTTTGGGGAGAGCAGCTGCTCCCAGGAGTCCCCCAGGCACGCAGACATTAGGGAGCCAAATCCCCAGGAGAGGGGTAGGGAGCTGCAAACGGTCCCGTCACAGCGCCGTCCTGTCTCAGCCCCGGAAGCTGCCTTTCCGAGCTTTCTGAGGTTTTCCCACCCGCAGCCTGTGTGTGTGAAAATGTCAAGGCTTCGGGCAGACGGATGTGGGTTCCATTTGTCTGCACTTGGGACAATATTTTTGGTCTTCCCAAGTCTCCGTTTCCTTGTCTGTAAAGTGAGGCTGATATATCAACCTCGTAAGGAGGTCGTGAGATTTCCATAAAATAACGGAAGCCAAGGGCCCGGCACCCAATAGCACCGCGGGGACGGCGCCCGAATCTCCATCCAGGGGCCTTGGGGCTCAGTGCAGGGGTCCTCAGGAAGGGGTGCGGTCGGGGCAGGGGCTCGTCTGAGAGCTGCCTTCTCCTGGCGCACACATTTTTATTCTGAGGGGAAGATCTGGGGGTGCCCCGCTTCCCGCATCCCGCCTGCACCCGAATCGGCCCCTCGCCCGCGGAAGGGCGCGGTACTCACGGTGTGCGCGGCGCCGGCGAGCAGCAGCCTC